AATGATATATCATTCATTTACATGTGGTAATGGTTGGGTGAGAAATCCTTCCATTTGCACAGTGTGTCAAAATCGGCTCTGGGCCAAGTTTTAGATATTGAAAAAATCAGTGCAAGAGCTAAGTGCCAATGGAAGTTCCCCCGACTTGAATTGTTGTGACATTTTCTTTTAGAGCTATCTTTGGAGCATCTGTACTCACAATTCCTCCACCAGATATTGCAAAACCTCGAGAAAGAATTGCCCATGGGCTGCTTTTCTCTCTTTTAACCCACAGATGACTCAGGGCTGAACCATGCATGACGTGGACAGACGTGGTGCAGGGAAGTGGTGGCAATTTGGAGGGGTTTGGGATGTATTCTTGCAAGAGTATGAGTATGAACACTTTACTGTTTATGCCACACCTGTCACTCCTTCTTACAATAGCTCCTATGCCCCTTGTACTGACTTTTGCAATGTTTAAAACTTGGGTCCGAGATGAATTTTGCCCCACTTTGCAAAATTAATGATTAATCGGCCAGCCATGGCTCCATGTGAATGAATGATATTCCATTGCAAAGAGGAGTAATTTTGCTTTTTGGTACATTGAATGAAAAGGATGCAGTCAGCATTGGTTTTATGTTTTCTTCCAATATTGCATCGGGCTCCGTACACTGACTTTTGCGATGTTTATAACTTGGCCTCAAGCGTCGTTTATCGCTGAATTTTCATTTTAAGGAATTTACTTTATTTCCCGATCATGCATATGGAATGAGGAGTTCTTTGTACTCCATTGACAAATTTTCTCCAACTTTTTTTATTAATGATTTATTTCCATGTATAACAAACATATAACATACACATGTCTGCGGCTTTGCAGAACTGCATTATAATCCACAAGTAAACAAGTTTGTAAGAAGAAAATTGGTAATAAATTTATGTTGTCTGAAAGAATAAAACAAAACACATTGTGTTAAATATCACACCTTGAAGAGCAAAACGACCACTTTGTAATTCATCATAAACTTATGAATCATTTCATTTGATTTTAATAAAAGACCTGGCGATAACGCTGGATTATTTTTTCTAAAACATTTGAATAAAAAAGTATTTTGATCATTACCAAAGAAAAGCCATACAAAAAGTCTATGTTGGCTGATGTCTGATCACATAGAGTGGATATTCCATTTCCCTGTCCCCATTTTTCGTATTCCGTTTTTAATCAAAAACAACCCGATCTAGCTTTGAGCTTTAGCTTTTGCAAATAAAGGTCAAAATCTGTAGTCAGGTGTTTTTCAAGAAAGGGTGGGAGAGACATTGGCACTGCGATAGTGATTACTTATCATTCAATATAGATCTAGAATTATCAAGCCTTTCTTGCCCAGATATTTCGATAAAAGCCTGGTACAGTCTGCATCATTTCTGTGAGTGTGGATACATTATCGGTCCATATTTTATAAGCATGGATTTCAGAAGTTACGACGACGTTTGCGCCTTTTCAATAGTTTCGTATTGGATATTATCCCACGATTAATGTGTTATCTGTACAATAACAGGTATTGATATTTCTGATATTATTGAAATCCGTGTGATGTTTTCCAGAAAATCGTTTATCAAACTCATATGCGTGTGATATCGTTTATCTCACGCATATCCGTGTGATATCACATTTGCATTTCGCGCCACAATATTGTTGGAAATTAGGTCAGAAAATTCATTTTCTTTTGAGAAAATAGGTCCGTTAATTTATTCTCTTTAAGTTTCATTGGTGTATTGAATTACGATTGTGTATATAATTTGATTAGAAGGTTGCTAACTAACGATTAAAAATGGTATTTATAACGAACTATATCATGTTATTTACTTTTAATTGTTAAAATAAAGTGTTTCAAATATTCAATTGACATTCTAATTTCTAGTTTCAATGTCCTGGAAATTGGATCAGAACATCACAAGGTGATTTTAATCATGGGATAAACCAATATCACATAATTTCTCGTGATATCCTTTTATCGTCTCGTAGATATCAAATATCAACACTCATTCGCTTCGCTCACTCGTGTTGATATTTGCTATCAAGCAACTCGGCGATAAAAATGATATCATTCAAAATGATGTGATATTCTGTATAGTTAGCATGATATTCATAGGATAACATGTGAAAATAAAAACGGTATTTTTGTAATCAGTGGTAAAATATGATATTTTTGACAATTTTTCACTTAACCATAGCATACGGTTTTTAGCCATGACATACGGCGCCGTATGCGATGGTTTATGGATTTTTGCTACTTCAGACTCAAAACGAGGCTAAGTGTCAACATCGCCGAATCGTTTGGAAAATTCGAATTAAATAACTTAATTTCCGACGATGACTTTAACTATAAAAAGAACATCCTATGATTTACTCGTGATCTATGATTTTAATCCACTCATGGATGTTGATATCTGCACTCTCTCGCTACGCTCGCTCGTGCAGATATCATATCCATTCGTGGATAAAAATCATACCACGCATAAATCATAGGATATCCTCTATATGAAAGACTTCCGACGAATTTCGTGCAGAAGCAAGATTGACATTGTCATTCCATATGCTGGTTCATTTTGTCTGCGAATGAACAGCTTTTGAGTCAAAAAATAAATTGTGTGAAAAATTTGAAATATCTAAAAACGACCTTGACAAAATTAGGCGATGACATCCAGTGATTATATTCTTAATTGATTTTTCAATTAAGAATCTAAACATCCATATATCTAGTGCTCATTCCAGTGCTCATTCTTCAAAACAATCTAAACATCCATATTTCCAGTGCTCATTAAGATATGATTCAAAGTTAACCGTGGCAATGGTCATTTTTTATTTAGCTATCATCATAATCATCTAGCATTACATTTACAGTGTTGGTACTAGATACCCATAAAAGGGTATATTGGTGCTAAATCAAAAGTTAAAGAGCATAATATATTACAATTTATATGAATTGAATGAAGCAAGAAACACAATTTATAGATAACATGCTAATTCACGTTATAAAATACGAACATTTACAAAAAATGCCTGCATATAGACAAGACAAGATAAAAGTGAAAAATACAAATTAAACATTTTATATTTTGAAGTTTTCATGTTTGTAACATAGAGTTGTATTTATACCCCTTTCTTGAAGGCCGTAATCTCGCTTACAGATATGTTGCTATTATTTATGACAAAACTCTTTGCATTCTATCAAACCCTACTAAAAAGTATATAATTCACAAATGAATAATCACTTAAGTACCAAAATGATAGGAGAGCGGAACAACTTTTTAAATTATATAGTTATTTCTTTACAGGTATAACAATGGCATTGACTTGAGCTTTGTGTGCAAAAGGACTATCACATTTCAGTTTTTCAGTTTTTCAGTTTTTCAATATACAGTCGAAAACTGAGATCCGGTAATTCAGTGGTCCAATGTTGTCATAGAAAGCACATCAGAACATGATATACCAGAATCTAAATTTAATACACAAGATAAAAAGTAATTAAAAAGGAGAAATTTCTATGTTAAGAATTTAGTTTATCACACAATCTTCATCATTGAATGTAAAAATAAAATTTATAGATTTGGAGGACTCAATAGTTAACTAGATGAAGATGAGATACAAGAAGCTGTGTCGTGTTGCTACAGTCATATTGCTTGTCTACTACACTTTTAAGTTACCATTCTTAATTAAAACACCAAAACACGGGGAAAAGAATGAGTTTGATGTACATGTAGGACTTACTGAAGGAATTATAACAACGGGGAAGTGTGAAGACGTTGCCACATCGGAAATTGAAATGTTGCGAAGAAGGGACGCGCTTTGGAAGAATTGCGACATGGAAAACACAAAAACTGATCCCCATAAAGGACTGTTAGTCAGCGACAAGCATTAACTATTATTCTGTGATGTCGCCAAGATTGGAAGCACATTTTTGAAAAAATGTGGTATATATTAGAAAACAATTTCACGCCCGGTGATCGTGAATATGGGACGGAGGGGGGGGGGGTGAGAAGGCAATTTCTGCTTGGAAATTCAACAAATCTGGAAGATTTATTTTTTCAAGAAAAAGTTTACTATTGAATTGCTAAATGGATAGGCGCACGGTATGGTAGAATATGTTAGGTTATCTGGGATTTTTTCTGAAACGATACGCATCTAAGGTATGAGATCTATTAAAAAAGGCGCAAGGCCATCAACAGGCACAAATCAACGTTTTTGCTATAAATCAAGCAACAATGGACTACACGACCTGTAATAAATACTTGTAAGTGATGTTATCATAACTAAATTAATGTCATTGCTGAATTTATAAAATAAGTTTCCATACGTAAAATAAAAAATAATCTAAAATAATTAAAATGGGACGGAGGGGGGGGGGGGGGGAGGGGACGGAGGGGGGGAGTAATAATTCTATAAAGTGAAACAACTTCACACGAATTCTTGTATTTGAAAAATGAACTCATTAACTTAGTAAGAAACTGGATGATATACACCTGGAGACTGAAAAATGGGGACATTTGGAGTAAAGGGACTTAAAGTCGCGAAACATCTCTAATCATGTCTTATATACATATTGCTCCCCCCCCCCTCCGTCCCCTCCCCCTCCGTCCCAAATTCATTATTTTCGATTATTTTTTATTTCACATATGGAAACTTATTTTATAAATTCAGCAATGACATTAATTTAGTTATGATAACATCACTTACAAGTATTTATTACAGGTCGTCCAGACCATTGTTGCTTGATTTATAGCAAAAACGTTGATTTGTGCCTGTTGATGGCCTTGCGCCTTTTTTAATAGATCTCATACCTTAGATGCGTATCGTTTCAGAAAAAATCCCAGAAAACCTAACATATTCAACCATACCGTGCGCCTATCCATTTAGCAATTCAATAGTAAACTTTTTCTTGAAAAAATCTTCCAGATTTGTTGAATTTCCTAGCAGAAATTGCCTGCTCCCCCCCTCCGTCCCATATTCACGATCACCGGGCGTGAATTTACCTGAAAAAGATCCAATGAATATGAAGAAAAACATTTTTTCAGTTCGTTTTTCACGTTTGAGCGATTTTAACATAACAGAAAGGACAAAACGATTGAACTCATACGCGAAGGTGATCATCACGCGAAATCCATACGATCGATTATTTTCAGCGTACCAAAAATAAATAAATTTGTAACATTCAATCCAACTTATTGGGCTCGTGCTAAGAATATCATCAAAAGACATCGCAAGGATCCTAGTGATCGATCCCTCCGCTGCGGACATGACTTGACATTTGAGGAATTCCTCTTACACGTCAGTGGGAATCCCCAAAATGTTGGTCACATGGACTATCACTGGAAACCACTAACAGCATATTGTGATCCATGTTCAATTAAATATGACATCATCGGAAGAATGGAATCATTCAATGAAGATCTTCAATATTTGTTATGTAAAATCAACGCTGAAGATAAAATTAATCTACCAAAAGCCAACACACTGGCTCTTCGAAAATGCAACGTTAAACTAGAAGTTTCATTTTCAGTCACAAGCATAAAAAAGATGAAGGGCAATTGTATCCCAAAATCGGAACTGGTGAATAGATTGGTTCAGAATATGGTAAACCATGGCTACATTGAACCCATTGATAAGATTCGCATGGCGGATATCCCGATTGATTACACACAACAAGACCTAGTGGAGTATATAGGCAGACACATGAACAAGTCTACAACTGAAAAATTACTCAGTCTACCCAAGTTGGCCCAAAATAAAGCATTCCACGACGTTTCACCTAGATTGGGCCTTGAAAAAAATGTTGGGCAAAAATATTGTAGGGCCTCTTTAGTTGGCCCTTTCTTGACCTTTTTACTTGACCTTTTTGGGCCTTATTTTTTTCAATTTTAGGCCAAATTTTCAAAAACGGGCAATCAATTTTCGAAATTTTGGTCCTAGGGCCCTAAAAGGTTTTCTGCGCGGCCATAGGATTGGTCCAGAAAAAATGTTGGCCCTAAAATAATGTAGGGCATTTTTAGTGGGCCTTCTGGACATTACTTGACCTTTTTGGGCCTTATTTTTCAATTTGTGGCCAAATTCTCAAAGATCTGGCTTTAAATATTTAGAATTTTGGCCCAAATTTTAGTTTTAGGGCCCAAAAATATTGTAGGGCCTCTTAAGTGGGCCTTTTTGGGCATTACTCGACTTTCTGGGCCTTATTTTTCAATATTATGCCAAATTTTAAAAAAAGTGCCATAGATTTTCTAAATTTTGGCCAAAATTTGGGTTTCAGGGCCCTAAAAAGTTTTCCGTGCAAGCGCGGATATTTTTTCCTGACTTGAAATGTGGGTCCCCCTTGTTAGCTTCTGGATCCGCCACTGTCCTTTACAATACAAAGGGGCTTGGGCTTTCGCTTAAACCTGCATTTGAATGTATACCCCCTCCATAGGTTTGGCTACCCGAACTCCTCTTTTGAAATACTTATCAAAGCCTGCTTATATTTGGAGACTTAAAATATCACCGAATTTGTTAAGAAATTTCCTCGATCAGTAATTAAAACTCTCATGTCTGTGTGTTTACTGCTCACAATTTCATAACAATATTTAAATCAAAATACCCAAACTTTTCCCCGATTCAAACCTGGCAATTTCTTACTACATAATAGTCTCATGGTTGCGCATTTTGTGGTTGACAATTCAACGGAACTACCGTTGTAGTATTTTTGATAATGCCTAGCTCACACAGCTAGGCAGACTAACCAAAAATGACGTCACGATATAAATTAATCCAATTCTGAAAAAAATATTTGATCAACAATCATGCGTTAACTGGTCCCAGAGTTCGTGAGTTTTGGTTACTATCATTGTAACCATCTTTAATTTAATATTGTTATACTAAAAATGAATTAAATGGTCTTTGTTCATTACCCATCCCGTGAAAATTGTGAATAGAATATGTATATTAAAAGTTCGAGAGATATTATGAGAACGTTTTGATCACCCCTCGTAAACATACACGTTGTTGCGGGTCAAGTTGCCTTATATGCATCAAAATACAGACATTAGTCTGAACCGGATATCAAATTATCGAACCATGTTATACAACAATAGTAATAGCTTTATCAAACGCAACCATATAATCAATACTACTAAGTAAAAAATATACATATTATTCTGTAACAGTATGTTGGAAATAATAACAAATTGCCCACATCCAGCATATGGAGAGTTTAAAGTCCCCGATAAATCGGGCTACGTATACCGCCGTGTTTACATTAGGGGATTAGAAGAGTTTATTTTTTATTTAGGTATGCAAGCTACGTATATCAATATTAGGCCTTCATTCATGTACTCGTGTGCATGTAATCAGCATGCCCTTCAATATTATGTAAACCAGGCTATTCAAGTACTGTATAATGTACACTATTTATGTGTGTACTACATACAATACAATTCCCTGGGAAACAAAACACAAATACTTTTTATATGTTCAAAATGAGCCATTTGATTGATGCAAACACTAAATAGCTTCATAAATAACATCTACAAAGTATATCTAATAGTAATTTTCAATTCCAATGGTGAAACTTCCCTGGTTACGATTATATGGGAAATCATCACGAGACGAAGATCGTTCGCCTTCCTGGCTTACCTCTGAATCGTGTACCCGGTAATCTCTTTATATAGTTTAGCGAGAGCGGTGCGCCTGCGCAGTTTTAAACTTTGGCGCACACTTTAACGACGTATATTGACCATTGTATGCCTCTCTTGGACATTTCCATTAGCCACTCCCAGCGCTTGATCAGGAATGCTGGAATGTAGCTGAAATTGCTTGATTATAGGAGGCAGCCACATTTTTTATCGTACCTCACAAAAGGTACGATATTGTAGTCAGCTTGACGGGCGGGCGGCGGGCGGCAGGCGGGCGGGCGGCGGGGGGCGTCTCGCTTTTCAGCTTGTCTACAGGTTTCCAGCCAAACCATTTGAGGGATTCATCTGACATTTTCAGGGATGTTTCTACATATCAACGTCAAGAACTGATTAGTTTTTGGGCATTCTTGGTAAATTTTAAGGTGGCCATTTTGGATTTCCGTCCTAAAATCTTCACTTTCAAGACTTGTCTACAGGTTTTCAGCCAAACCATTTGAGGGATTCATCTGAAATTTTTAGGGATGTTTCTATATATCAACGTCAAGAACTGATTAGTTTTTGGGCATTCTGGGTAAATTTTAAAGTGGCCATTTTGGATTTTCTGTCCTAAAATCTTCACTTTCAAGACTTGTCTACAGATTTTCAGCCAAACCATTTGAGGGATTCATCTGAAATTTTCAGGGATGTTTCTACATATCAACGTCAAGAACTGATACATATCAACGTCAAGAACTGATTAGTTTTTGGGCATTCTGGGTAAATTTTAAGGTGGCCATTTTGGATTTTCCGTCCTAAAATCTTCACTTTCAAGACTTGTCTATAGGTTTCCAGCCAAACCGTTCAAATTTTTACATATGTTACACAGTGATAAGTTCTAGAGCTGATTAACTTTTCTGCGGCCATCTTGCTTTCTTGGTCAACAAGACCACAATGCTGTGTTTTAGGTACGATATTGTTCACGTCTGTGCCTTGTTTATTCATGTGATATAATTATGATCAAGTACCGTAGGGGGGGGGGGGGTATATCAGTGTATTATCAAAATTTGAAAAACCATAAAGGTGTACAATTTATAATGAGTTCAGCATGAACATGAAGACATACAATTTATAATAATACATGATATAAAATATGAAAATATAAAATTACTGCCTGCACGCAGATAAATCATTAAGTGAAATTATAAACATTATGGATACAACACAATGTGGAAAAATAACATGACATGCTTACAGCTTATAGCTCAACAACAATTTATCAATGTTTTTTTTTGTAATTATATTTAAAGGTGTAGAGAGGGTGGAGATTGAAGGGAAGTTGGCAATTTATTCCAAATTATTGATCCGGAGTACTGAACTGATTTCTTTGTTAAGTTTGATCTAAATCTACATGGAATTATATGTCGTATTTGTCTTGTGAGACGAGAGTGTTTAAAATAAATACACTTCAAAATACTGTTTGAATACAATGTTAAATGTGAGTTTTGCTTTTTCTAACTTGTAAATATCAAATATGGTTAAAATATGAAGTTGCTTGAATAATGGTAAACTTGCATGATCACAGTGATGATATATATCTTTTAAAGATAATTTAACGAATTTCTTTTGAATTGCATACATTTTTTCTAATAAGAATTTCTTGGCATTTCCCCATATAATATTGCAATATGAAATGTGAGAATATATAAGAGAGTAATAGTTATCTAGTTAAGCTGTCAAAAATTTGTAACGTACTTTATAAAGTATACCTAGTGTTTTTGATATTTATGAAATAATATAAGATATACGTTCATTCCAATTGAGTTTATTGTCTATTATTACACAAAGAAAATGTTTGTTTTTCGACATTAATTGAAGGCGTTTCACTGGCGGCTCCAGGGGGTGGGCTCCCCTTGTGGGCCCAAAAAGGCCAAATTATCAAAAATGGGCTTTAAAATGTGTGCCCAATTTTTGGATTTAAGGGCTTAAAAGTTTTGTCTGATTTGAAATTTGCCACCCCCTTTTCAGCTTCTGGGTCCGCCAGTGTCGTTTTACCGATAGATTCTCCATCTACCGTTACGTTATTGACGTATCTACGTATCCCTTGTGATTAAGGATTTGAGTTACGCCCCTTACCTATACTTCCTTATACGAATGAAAAGGTGATCGAAATCATAACCGCAAATTCTCCTGACTGAAGTTTTTCGCACGTTTAATAAGTCAAAAGTTCTGTAATGCAATCGATTAACCTACAACAAACTTGGTGTCGACCATTAAAAAACTAGCACTAATACTTCTACTAATGGTGCTATTATTCCCTGGGAGAGAGAGAAAAGAGTCAAACTTAGGGAGCGATTATCGAACATCAGCGCCAAATCTGCAATTTGGGAATTAAACAATATCTATGAACAGCACAGAATGAAGAAATCTACTCACTTTTACATCTACACTTTGGTCCTACTTCTTATTATCAAGCACGGCAATACAACTCAAAAAACAAAAATATACAAACGTATCCCTTATCAAAGCAGAACTGATAGCGTCACAGAAACGATTAGCGTCGGTTCAGTAGGCGAGTGTGCCTTTCGGTGTTTACTTAATGAAGGGGTTTGTAAATCATACAATTTGAGGACCAATGGGGGCAGCGGTGATATGATGTGTGAGTTTATCGGAATGATGTTTGGAGGAAATGTGGTTGCAAGTCCTACAATTGACCATTATTATCCTGACCAAGGTAAGATGTATTATAAAAATTAAGATAAAGTGTGTAAAAAAGCAAGTGTCAAATGTTCGAAGCAATATTTTCAAATATCCTGTCAATTTTTACAATCTTATTATTTTTTTCTGAAAGCAGAATTGAGATACTGTATCTGCTAAAATATCGAAGTTATTGAAAATGTAAGTTGTACACATGTCCAAATTGAATCCTGTAGAATTAAAAAGGGATTCGAACTGTTTTTCATTTTTTGCCAGGTAACCTTTAGGTAATTGATATTTGCATTGATTTGATTTCGCTTCTTAAAGTGTCTCACATATTCGATCAAAACTTGCCATGCAAACATGTTAGTCTACTTTACTAGCCCCCTTGCTGTAACAAGGAACACAAAACACATCAAAACGTAAACATGAACCAATTAGTCACTTCACTATGAAAGTGAGGGGGTGTTAGCAAATGTGTATTAGCAGACAATAAATTGCCTTTTTCGTTCAATCATTTACTGTGTCAACTTAGTAACCCTTGCATATCGTGCTCACTCAAGTATTGAATAATTTATTTTATAATCTAAATGTTTGTGGTTTTTAAAAAACATTTGATATATTTTAGTTAGAAATACATTCATACATATATTCATCCAAATAGCACTAGAATGCGGGAAGAAAGAGCAATGGTGACAAAATACCGACAGAATTTTCCGTAAGGGTTTCAAACATTTCTGGACACAATCATGCATGTACTTCATGTGTACTTTTATTTTTAGTGCTGTATTTATAAATATAATTTCACGTATTAAAATCATATTTTCCAGCAACACGCATTATATAACAATAATAACACGCATAATAAAAATCAATCGAACTCCCCGAAAATCGATCGATTAAAACTCTACCATAACACATTTTTCAAAATATCGGACTTTTGTATTTTATTTCTCATTTTTATCATATGCTTGTATTTATCATACAAACAATAGTTCTACATCTTTGTCATGGGAATTGTTACGCAGAATATGGCATACATTCATGGTTGTGCGGTATTTGTGATACAGATGAATATGCCATACTCACCTGCGGTATATGGCATATTCCGCAGGTGAGTATACGATATTCCGCAGTGAATATGCGAGACATTGATTTCAGTGAATACCCGATACTCACCTGCGGAATATGTCATACTCACTTGCGGAATATGCCATATACTGCAGGTGAATATGACATATACCGCAGGTGAAAACGTGATACGAAAAGCCTTGATTTGATTGGTTGCGAGAATCGACTCTAAATGTAAAACTACGCTGGATTACCAATATTATTAGTGCGTCGAGTACTAATATATGAATCCTGGATTGATTGAGTAAGTTTATTACGTGAGATTGGTGAGTGATACTTCTGCATAAGTCAGTATATTCGATACACTGTGCTGTTGATTCAGTAATCTTAATAATTTATAAAATTTTATTTGTTTGTTCCATCGATGCAATTGACAATTGCGTACTTCCGTATCACGTTCTCATTGGTAAGTGTGTATGCCATATACCGCAGGTGAATCTGTCATACACCGCAAGTGAATATGCCATATTCATTGCGGAATATGACATATTTTTGTATCGTGTTTACCGCGTAACAGGAATGACGTTAAAATTCTGATTGGGAAAATATCACGTTTTTGGTGACGAAAATTTGACTGAAAGAACAGATAGCATGATTTTTTCCTTTGGGAAAATACATACAGCTCCAATCATGTAAAATAATTTATTCAATTTTATATTTAGTTAAATGCAAAGAACTACTCGTATCTGGAGATATTTACAATGTTGATGATGCAAATATTACTGCCTCAAATCATTTTGGTGATGCACATGTCCCGAGCAGAGGTAGATTAGACACACAGACGATGTAAGTATGTCATCCATGATAGTAGGGTTTTTAAATTAAGCGATTTGGTACAGACGCACTCACTCCTGCTTTTCATCACGTTAGGTAGAAGATAGAAGAAAGAATTGAAGGGGCTTTTAAAGTTCCCCTTGGATAGACGTACACTCCCCTCCATGAGTTTGGCAATCCTCAATTTTCCCATTTTTTCTCAATTACAATAGGTCGAAAATTGATGGCAAATGATGAATTTTTGAAAATTGTCATTCCCATGTAGACCAATGGAAAATGGTGGATTCGGGGCAAATCAGACTTCTGAATATCTCTTCAGTTAATGTTTCACCAAAAATATTTTTATACAAAAAATTGAATTTTCTACTTTGTTTGAAACTAAGGTTTACTTTGTGAACTTTAAAGTAACCCTACTATCACACCAAACTAGTTCTCACTACGTTCTCGAAAACGGGCTTCAACTGTGTACGAACGGACTGGACCTACTAAGAACCGTTTGGGATCTATTTACAAACGTCATCGAACGTACTCGGACGGGTAGGTCCTCTAGAACTTAGACAATGCTCAAAATGTTTTCGTGGTCGTCACGTTCTACAATTAGAACGAGTGACAATGTACTAACGACGAGCTGGACGTACTACGAACGGAACCGTCGTACTTCAATCCTACTAGGGACGTTTTAACAACGAGTTGATCTGTCTGAGGACGTGTTGAGAACGAGGTAGAACTAATTGCAAACGGGTTTAAAGTGATTAAGAACGTATTTAACACTGCTTATGAACGAGTTAGCAAAAATATAGCTATCACACCAAACAAGTTGCCACTGCGTTCTTCAAAACTGGTTTTAAACTGTGTGCGAACGGAATGAACGTAGCTGCAACTTTCTAAGGTCTATTTACGAACTTTATGATCGTTCTCAGACGGGAATGTGATTTTAGAACTTTGAATCGATTCAAAATTCGATGGCGACCATACCGTTCTGTAATCAGGTCATGTTGACCTTCTAGACTAAGGGACGCGTTCTACTACGTTGCACGCCGACGTGGTGCGACCTGAACGAACTGCGAACGAGATGGACGTATTGAAGACTGTTTAAGAACGAAGAAGCTAATTATTTCAGACATATTTCCCGACCACAGCCAGATTGAGCCCGTTTTACGACGTTTTCGTAGGACTGGCAAGAACGGGTAAGAACTAGTTTGGTGTGATAGGGGGTAACAGAGCTTCAAAATCAAATTTCGCAATTTGTGTTATTTCAATGGGAGGGAATTTTGGGAAAATAATTTTGACTTTGAAAACTTATAACTTTGTTGAACTTGGAGAAACATATCATTTTTTGTTAAACAAAGTTTGCAAATTCAATGTTCTACAACCTTACTTGTATTTAATTTGCGAGTACTCATATATTATCGGTAAATACACCATAAATGAATATTATGTTATGGATAAACTATGAACATTAAAAATAGCCGAGGGCTTTGGCCCGGGCTATAAGTTCTCCGGAGACCCAGTACGAATGGTTTATCTAACTTAAACTCCACGCTGACTCTTATGAAAGGTAAATGTTGCATGCTCCAATTATACAGGGTGACAAAAAAAACTGGAACCCACTTAAGTCTTAATAACTTCGTCAATTATGGCACATGTATAGTCAACTGAATGTATGACAAGATGCCAAAATTTGAGCATTCTAGCTAAATTAGTCTCTAAATGAGGCACGTTTAGATAATGTGCTCCAAATGTGCACCACGACGTTGGATGCAGAGCTGGATTCTTCTTGCAAAATTGTCAATGACCCGACTGCATTAATCTCATTCTATCTCTTTAAATAGTCTTCCAATGTTGAGTTTGAGGTAATCAATGGTCAGTGGACTATCTGTATACACATTATCCTTGAGATATCCCCACAGATACAAATCTGGGGGGTTCAAATCAGGGGAGTGGGGGGGGGGGCAGATGTGGCGGGTACGGCGCCTGATTAATCGATCACCAAAGTGAGCCTGAAGCCATTGAATGGACTCATTTGAGGTGTGGGGAGTGGCATCATCTTGTTGAAACCATTGCTGGTCTCTTCTCAAGTCACGTCGTCTACCCAGAGCGCTCTCCAAAACTTTCGAACGTTAGGGATGTAATGTTCTGTAATGACTGTTGAGTTGTCTTGAGTTCTGACAGACCACTGTCTCCCCGAATAGGTTGATTAACCATCACTTCTCTTCTTTGTTGGTTTTACAGTTCCTTCTGAATCAAACGTCTGTACAAGCCTAAAGATCTGTGACTTGCAAGGGGCTCTTCTTGCCCTGTGATATCTCCTATAGGCAGTTTGAGTCTCTTTATAGGATTTTGTCTTGATATACTTTCTCACAATATAAGTCTTTTCTTCTGTCTTCCATGGCATGATCAATATCTAAGCTACAGTACTCATTATGGTGTCATTTTGTCATGCATTCAGTTTAGTTTCTACCCTGAAGAAATTAAGAATGTAGGTATAATACTTTCCGAGAAATTTGATGATTTATGGGTTCCAGTTTTTTTGTCACCCTGTAGGAAAATTTGTTTTCTTTTGTTTTGGCTATGAGGTACGTAAAGGTGTTGAGAAGTGAGTGACCTAATTTCAATTATTTTCCGTATATCGTTAGTGACCTAATTTCAATTATTTTCCGTATATCGTTATACTCAATCAGCCAAGTAAACAGTACAAATGGGAGAATCTACAGAGGACCATAATTCTAGAAGTTCACGTACAATTTATAAAACATGTATCTTAACCTCCCTAAGAATCAGTAAAATTAGAAGAGGGATGGTCTCATGCCAGACAGCAGATTTAGGGAGTAAAGTGTATTCGAACCCATTTCAACCATATACAGTTTACTAGTAATTAAAGTTCACTTTCCTTCGTCATGAAATGAATTGTATTGTTATAGGTCAGGCCTGGCGGAATGCTGGGGCTCTGGTGTCGGTGATACGAATCAATGGATTCAAGCAGACCTTGGTGAAGTTATGCTAGTGACGGGTGTTGTGACTCGAGGTAGAGCAAGCGATGTGTATATCCAATGGGTAACATCCTACAAGGTTTTGTATGGAGAAACAGAAAGCAATTTGGAAGAGTATAGAGTGGTAATGTTTTTTTTTGTTTTTT